GTTCACTCATAGAGAAAGAGGATTTTAAAAATTGTGACTTAAAAGAGGACATTCCTGAGTTGGCACAGGGAGCTATATGTACCTGTACTTTAATCCTCTTTGAACAAGGCAGCATTTTACTAGTGTTTAAAACCCAATTGCATACTGTTTTGATAAATGAGACACAACCCAAGCTTGATAGATTCATCCAAATTCCAAGTAGTTTGGGAACAGTTTGTGGACAATATGATAAGAGTAATAATGTGATCTCTTAAATGAATCCTTTAATTTTAAGTGATTTGTCTGAAAATGAGATATGTGATAGTAAGAAGTGAAATTTCTGTTTGAATATTTCAGCTCCTAATTTGACATTACTCAGAATACGGGATTTAAACTATTCAAATTCTCATAGAGCTTTTCTACCCTGTTTTGGAATTCTGGACATGAAGTCCAAACATATCTGGAATAAGGAAAAAACCATCATCTCTTATATCTGTTTGACTTCTGTGTCTCCACATGGCAGCAGCATCTCATGATCATTGAGATCTTCATAATAGAAGCATGGTGGCTTTCATTTCAATACTGAGAAACAAATGATGGCAAATATAGATGTTGCAGGAACCAATTTGAGTCAATCACAGGGACCAGAAAACCTTCGGATTCATGCTTGGAGCCCATCCTCAGGGAACTTCTCTCTATATATGCATATGAGAAAGTTTACTGAGGATGAACTCCAGAATGAGTCCGAAACCTTGGAAGACTAAATCTTTGGTCCTAGTGACCAACTCAGATTAAATCCTGCAACATTGAAAAAACTTGTGTTAATTTCAGTTGAAATCACTGTATACATGCCTCATGGTTTCAGAGGGCATAGCAGTATGGTACCTATTGCATTGACTTATTATACATATATGTTTGTTAAGGAGCAGAAATTCCACTTTCCTTTATATGTAGTATTTACTCATTAATCTCCTTATAATTTTGGAAACCTAGTTTGATCTGTGCTTGAAGCAGCAAACAGCCAATTCCTTTGTGGCATCATCTCTGGCAATTTGTTGCATCTTGTATTTCATTGACATTCAGAATTGAGAACCTTGCAAAGGGGAAAAGTGGGGGGGGGGACATCTCAGATATTTGATCCAGATGTCCAGTGAGTTGATTTTGAGCATATGCTTGGTTCTAAATTTGCATGTTTTAAAATGTGTCTGGCTTCCACATTTTCGGTATGATTGGCTCTCTGGCAAGCTGCTGACAGAAGGCATCCAAAAGATGGTGACCATCTGACCTCTTTTTACCTACGGGGATTCTGAGGTTCATCGCATTCTACTGTAAAGGCCAAAGATATAACATTTCCCAGTATTTTCAGTCAAGAAAGATGCATTCAAGATACAGTGCTCAGGGACAGTTTTGTAGAAAACTAATGCGTTCAAGAACTTTTTGAAAGACAGTTCAAATATACATATGTAGATTTGCTAGGTTAAGCTTGGAAATTTATGGTTTGGGAAATATATCCTATCATCCCAGGTCAAGTTCTTTTCCTCTTTTCCCCACATTGAAATATGCCTGCTTGCAACCAAGCATGATTAAGAAACCTTCAGCATTTGCTGAATGCTACAGTGTGACTTGCCTGAACAAAAATGCTGTAACTCTTAGATTCAGTGTGGTTTTATCACATGATGCAGAGCCTGATCCAAGACGCTGTTGTTTGTCAGAGATAAAATGCAATTCTAGTTCATGGGTTCCTAGTGAAATCATATGATAGCTATTCACATGTTTTTAGCTGTTGCATGCCAAAAAAAAAAAAAAAACCCAACCTGAAGCCAGTAGCAATTCTAACAGTGCACGAGTTCAGCTTTGTCCTTTTAATCATTGGCCTGTCATAATAAGAGGTTGTTCTTGGGAGAAGTAGTGCAATCTTAAGTTCTAGCTGTGGGGGAAAAACTGGCCTTGAATCAGCTGGCTTTACATTTCTTAAACCATGGGACTAAATTCCCCAATAGTATTTAGTTTTGCCTCCAATTAAAGAATAAGAAAAGTGTGGTAAGAACATAGCCTTGAAGTGGGTAGAAGGGTGGATTTTGAATAATGGTTTATAGTTCCTTCATAAAATCAATGTCTATTTCTCTCTATAATAATACTGTAGTTTAGGGCTCTCAACTGCTGGTCTCAGTAATTTCCAGCTCTCAACTGAATTTGACAGCAGAAAGGCTGAAAATCCGAGGGCTTCTTCCTAATCTTCTCTAATACAGATGCTCTACCTGAGTTTTAGTAACAACTTCTTGGGGAATTAAAATCCATATGTTAAAAAATTGCCTATTGGTTTATTTCCTTCCACCCCAATAAAGTTGTCATTTGCAAATGTTATTATCAGGAGACCAATCTGTGATTAATAGCTGCACTTTCACTGTTTTAAATAAAGTCTGAATTTCTGTGAATCGTTTTCATTGAAGACTGTTAAAAAAAAATCAGCTCTGATCCCAAGCTTTGTGGAAATGTCAGACCTCTTCAGAATAAAAGCTCATTTTTTTAATGTCTGGCTGGGAACTGGGTTTTCTCAAGTTTCTCTATAGCTTCTCCATTTCAAGGAATAGGGAAGCCTGCATATCATCTTCCTTGCTGGTATCATTTACTGTCTTAAAAACTGCTGGCTTGAATTTAGGAACAAGCCAAGGTACTTGCTGGTCCAAATGAAAGACAATATGGTAGTTAAATTTCACTTCAGCACATGCAGTGGGACATCCCACTGAGATTGGCTTGTGGGCCTGAATGACAACCTGTAGCACTTTATTGATACTTTCTGCCTGTTCAGCATCTGTTTGCTTAATCCTGGAACCATTTCTACCAAAAGCTTAAGGATTCAGAAGTTCATTGACAACACACAGGAAGTCCATATTTAGTAACCATAATAGGATTGGCAACTTAGTTGTTAAGCAAAGCAGTCACTAAGCGAAATCACAACTATGCATTTGATCTTACATTAGTTTTCTTTGCTTTACAGACCTGTGAAGGTCATAAATGCGAAGATGGGCCATAAATAGCTAAACTAGAACTACCTGTAGATAGAATTTGCATTAAATTATGGGATCTTTGGTTTTCCTCCCTGTCTCTTAAACCAGGCTTATTAACTTTATTGGAAGGCTAAGATCCTTCTGTGGCTTTGAATGTTAAGTTGGGATATGCATTGAAAAATAATAAACACTGAATTTGATGCAGTATGATTATTTCCTGTCTATTAAGTATCATTGCTCATCTGACATTTTTAAAAATTACAATTTGGTGGGGAAACTTTTAGAGAAGACAGTGATTACCCACCTTTAAATTATAACAGAATACACTGAAAACAGTGACTTGGTGGCCATAATTGTTGTTATAAATAAATTTAAAAAGCCTTTGTATGCCAGAGACTAAAATGAAACAAATGTAACTATGACATCAACTCCAGCAGTTGAAACGAAATGCTTGCAAATTGCTCTTGTATGCTATATTTGTTGCCAGTTATAATGGCAGCACTGACTTATGTTTGTAGACTATATTTAAAATAAATGGATCAAAAAGTGTCTGATATCAGATAGAACAGTGGTTCTCAAACTGTGGGTCGGGACCCCTTTGGGGGTCAAACGACCCTTTCACAGGGATCACCTAAGTCTCTCAGAAAACACATATTTTTGAAAAAATACGGAAAACATAAAATAATTTTATGGTTGGGGGGTCACCACAACATGAGGAACTGCATTAAAGGATCGCAGCATTAGGAAGGTTGAGACCCACTGAGATAGAACATGATTTCTCAAACTCAAAGGTGTATCTCTTGGAGAAGTGCAGACAGAATCAAGGGAAGAATGTTTTAGTTATACTGTTTTGCCAAAAATCCATTTTTCCAAAGGTTTGTTGTATTGTTTTTATTGTTCAGTTGTATTTAATTTTAATGTTTGAATTTTTTGGAAAGATGTGGACATTAAGATTACACTAAAAAGAGGTATGATGGCAAAAAGTTTAGTAACCTATGTGATACAGAATGAATTATTGTTTTTCCTTTAAGGCAGTCTCCTTTAAGGTAGTTTTACTTTAAGGTACTTTTAAAACCAGAAAATGTTTATTTATGTCAGTATGCATATTACAGTACTTTGGGTTTAATTTAGAAGACATACTTTAAAATGTACTGGAGCACAAATGCAATAGCTATTGGCAACTCATTTAAATCTAAAGGTGTGTGTTTTCAAAACATCCTGGGAAAAGATGCAGCTGTTTTAATAAATTCTAATAGATAATAAATTCCTGTCCATCTTCAAAACTGAACTTGAAGTATTCCTCAGCTGTAATGTGTTACTTTTCAAATATTGCTCCAATAATAAAATAATTGGGGTGTGGGGCTGATCACAAAGTACAAAACCAGCAAATAGAAGTAGAAACTATTGGTAAAAGAAAGCAAAGATAATATCAATAGTAATAGGCACTTTGGCGCCATTCCAAAACATTTGGAGCACCACTTGAACGCAATCAGGGTTGACAAAATGAACATCAATTCATTTTGCAATTGCAAAGGCAGTTTTAGTTGCAACAGGTAACATTCTGCAACAATACCTTTAACACCTTCAAACAATGTTTGCTTATCCCGGGTCCTTGGGAAGAACTGGATAGGTGGATAAATATGCCAAGTTCAGTTTAAACATCTGGCTGATTGTGTGATGAACCATAATAATTTATTAAACTTGCATGCCGTCTGACTCTCAATAACTTTGGATGGCTCATAGCAATTAAAAAGAAGTTACAATAAATAAATGAAAGATACAGATAAAAAATACCAAGTGCAATGAAGCGAGGATCTCATCGTCCCTTGCCAAACACCAGGGTGAAGGGCTCATTCTTAATTAAAGAAGCCAATTAAATTGATTTTAAACAGCAGCAGAATGGAGCCCATCTGGGTCTGGGTTATCACTGTATGTGGGAGTTATTACATAGTTAAACAATGGTCTGGAGATTGCTAAGTATAATGTGGCAATTGCATCTTTTTCCTCTATCAGAAGCTCTGCAGTGATGCACCAGTGAAAGTGTTTGGAAAATGTTGCCAGCTCAAACCTGGAGGAGATAGTTCATCTTCTCTGGACAGCTCAATCAATTCCTCTTCTTCTTCTACTGAAACAAAAGAACACTGTCCAAAACTTCAGGTGAGATTCCTTTGAATTGTGCTAAAATTGTTAAAAGTGGCGGGGCCTTTGGGTAGAGAGTTCTGAGCCAAGAAGAACTTCTTTGATGATTGTCCAATAGAACAGATGGTTGATATCATCTGAGTGTGGAATCAGACAATTACCTGCAGAATGGATGTTGTCCAGTGAACTGAACATTAATTATGAAGAGTAATGGCTAGTGGACAACCAGTTGTACAGCCAATTTCACAGTCTATGTTTACCTGGAAGTGAGGCTTGTGGAAATAAATTTAGCTTTTTAAAATATGCATATCCTAAAACTTTATTGTGGAAAGGGGCAGAGAGGCTTGAGGGCTTAGGATGCTGGCTTGACAAGCAGCACACTTGTTTTCTTATTTAAAATATTTTGAAAGGCTTGTACAGTAGAGTTCATTTTATAGAAAGTAGTTGGAACATGTTAAATGATAGATGTTTGCTTGCTGTCACTTTAAAAGGGTTATGAACTGGCATTCACTGAACCTGAGTTACACTTTAAGAGAGGTTTTGGCTACTAGTACAGGCAGTCATCTGACTGATGTATTTCTGTCATCTCACCTTGTGCTGAGAGAAGTATTTTCTATTAAGCCTTCCTAAAATAGAGTTGAGCCTTTCTATTCTTTGTAGTGGAGTAGTTCTCTGCTTAAGACTGTCTGATCCTAACATGACACATTCTGGATGACTTCTTGACTAACGCCAGTGGACCTGATCTCTTAGCAAAACTTCGCTAAGAAAATGTTAGCCTCCCCGTTTTATCATTTACACCTTATCTTTCGGTCTCAAATACACAATATCTTTTTTGTATTACACCAGTGAAATTGAAAATGGTAGTTTTTTAATTTTTTTTAATCTCTTCATCATGGCCAAATGTATGGGCTGCTGAGGAAAGAACAGGGATTATGTTGAATTTTGTTCTTAGAATAGAAAATAAGAATAACATTTTGCAGCCTGTTATACCTCATTTAACTTCCATGTCAGATAGTTTTTTTAAAAGGTCTTAATCAGTGCTTTCTGCCAAGTAGTCCCATATTCAATGAATGTGTTGCATTCAGAATTGCAGAGGCAGACCACATACATACTTTGAGAGGTGCAGAGGGAGTGGTTAAGGTAAATATAAGGAACTGGGTGTAAAAGACTAACACAATGGAACTTGATTTTTTCATAAATAAATGTGCAAAGTATTTGCAAAGTTAATTTGTAAAATGTAGAATGGATAAAGGATTTTTAGTTAGCAAAAGCTGCAGGACATAATATACATGTTATTAAATGACAAGATTGTTTAAGTCTACAGACAACGCTTTTTCTTACTGTTCTCCACCAGCCACTGATCTTCAGGGATCTAGTGTCTCAGGAACCAGAGACTCCAACAGCCATCATAGGTAGACATTGTTGATAGTAAAATTAACATTTATGTAGCAGAGCAAACTTCATTAATAATACCTCTCTTATCCCAGCTCAGCCTGTTAATGGACAGGGATCATTTTTTTTTCATTCTATAATTGAATGACAAGGAGGTAATAGGCAGTGTTTTTTCTCATGATCTACACCTATGCCATGATGATAGGATGTGTGAACATGAATGGATTGACAATAGGTGTTTTTTCACGTATATGAGTTGGGCATTTCTTACTGTATAGAACAGTTATGGGATTAAGCAGTGACAGAGATATTAATATGTGGCAGCCATTAGAAATTATTATAAATTTATTCATCCATTTTTGTCATAGAAAAATAGCTAAAATCAGTCTTGCAGGAGTCTAAAATACAGCCGTTTCTCTCTACTTTTGTGATCATTAGTATAACAACAAGTTTTGTAAACATCTACATGTTTTATTTGCATGCTGTGTAAATTCTGCTTCTAATCTGAGTGGGCAGCATTGTGAGTTACATGTAAGATACACACACACACACACACAAACACCTGTAAAGAAAATTTCACACAACTTTAAAATTGGATGAACTGGAAAATTTTAACTATCCATGAGATCAGCCAAAACTCATTACCTCCTAATGCATTTCTAGAACAGATCAAGTGTGTCATGGGATGTATTGCTTCAGTAGTAATCCATGTAAATCCACTTTTTTCAGTCATCTGGGTTTTCCTCCAGAAAGAAGAAAAATCTAGCAAGTTTTCTTATAAGCTTATTTTGTTTTACATTTTGTCAATTTATCTTATTATATTTAATTTTACAATTTGGTGTAAATGTCAGTTTTGATTATAATTGACAGAAATAACTATTATAGTCCTGATGGAAAAATAACCTAGAATCTTGTTTACCATTAAAATAATTTTCTTTCCTGTCAGGCACCTTGATACTTAGAAACATTTCTCCTATTATGGTACAAAATGCTAGTACCTACGGGGTAATCAAGGCATATATTATCCTGTGGTGTGACATATGTGATTACTGCCTAACAATTTTAAGTGCTCTGACACCAGGTATGGAAAGTGTGTGAAATTCTAAGCTTGAGTGCAGAAGCTGCTGCGTTCATGTTAAAAGCAGATACAATATAGTGAACTAAGCCATTCAAAGAGTTGTGCATTCTGTATTACTGGTTTAAATCCACAGGCAGAAATATCTAAGGGGGGATAGACTATTATGTTGCGCTGGGTTTGTTATTTTTCTCACAGGATTTAGTTCCAATATGCACCTCTCCCATCAAATCAAATTACATCCTTTAAGACAGAATGGCCAAATACCAAGGAGAGTATCAAAGTCCGTGTGCCTGGAGTATTTGCTCAAGATAAGAAGCGAGGAGGAAAACTGACAGCAGATCAGGCTTTTGAGGCACATGATGTCCTGCAAGGCAAGCCATAAGATAGGGGTGAACAGTTTGTTACTCCGGGGCTGCATGTGGCATCATAAGTCCCCTCTGGTCAAATGTCAGGAGTGTCTCTTCCTACTATATTGAAGTGCTAAGTCTGAAGATTGTAGCGTAAGCCCTCAAGCAGCCTTAGTGCAAAACAAGGGAAAGGGAAAGAAGAAAAAAAATGAAAACAAACCCTATTCACATGTTCAAACACCGAATAAAATCTTGGCCCTGCCCCGTGTGTGATGTGATCCCATTCATTTTGCATCACATATGTCGGAGCCCTTGGCATCCACACCTGCCATAAAATCACAACAGTTAATGTGTGGAGAGAAGCAGCAGGTGCAGAAGATTTTGATTCTGCCCAAAGATTATTTTCAGCATGAGGAACAGCTGCCATCTACAGCAACATTTAGATCGATGAATCTAAAGAGCTAACACGAACCCGCATAAACATCTTGGTACCTGAGGATGGGGTTTATGTGTCTGTAACACACGCACTCGTCTTTTGTTGAATGTATTTATAGCTATCATGTTCCTTCATTTCCCATGCCCTACCCGAAGAATGCTTTAAAAATGATCACTGTGCAACATAATTATTAGCAGTATTTTTTTTCCAGGGTTCTCGATGTTCGTCAGATGCCAATATGCTTGGGGAGATGATGTTTGGTTCTGTGGCTATGAGCTACAAGGGTTCAACTTTAAAAATCCACCAGATTCGGTAAATATTCTTTTTTGTTATATATACAGAGATGAAATTCAGCAGGTTCTGACAGGTTCTGGAGAACCGGTAGCGGAAATTTTGAGTAGCTCGGAGAACTGGCAAATACCACCTCTGGCTGGCTTCAGAGTGGGGTGGAAATAGAGATTTTGCAGTATCCTTTTCCTGAAGTGGGGAGGGAATGGGGATTTTGCAGTATCCTTCCCCTGCCATGCCCACCAAGCCACACCCGTAGAACTGGGAGTATTTTTTTTAATTCACGTGTGTGTGTGTGTGTGTGTGTGTGTGTNCCTAAAATCTGTGATCAAAGGATACTGTTCTTATTTTCTTCTGACAGAAGAGAAAGTACAAGGAATGCTTTTCTTTCATTCAACTCAAAACATTTTTTATCTTTCTTGCAAAGTGTGTGTGTGGGGGGGATTCATACACAGGGCCAGAATTCCAGGCACAGCATGTAGTATTAGCTTCCATTTGCTTTGGTGAAAATATTATGACATTTTTTTGGTTAGAAACAAGATGTGAACGTGAAATTACTCAGAGGCATAAGGGAGATAAAGGTCTCCTTTCATTTCATTTTCCGGCAATAAATCAATCCCACAAGGATTTGGATGAGGCTAAGAAGAAAAAAATATCTGTCGTTCATTAGAGCTGGAAAATTGGGTTGAACTGAAACTTGGGGCAGAAGGCAACGTTGTAGATCATCTTTTGAAGGGACGATGGGGATATGTCAAAGGGATGTAGAACTGTGCCCTAGGCATTATGTCTTTGTTTCTGTCAGCTCTGGCTTCATTGCCATGGAAATGGTGAGAGGGCAAGAAGGCAACTCCTGTTAGAAGGCTGCAATCTAGAAGGCTGAGGGATAGTATTATCAAAGTGATTTGCCTCCCTCATGTCATATTTCATATGTGGAAGGTATGTGTGCATGCGCAAGTACACAAATTACAGGTAGTCCTCAACTTACGACCACAATTGAGCTCAAAATTTATGTTAAGCTAAGTGGGAAATTTGTTAAGTCCTATTTTATGACTTTNTGCCCCTATGAATAGGGATTGTTGTTTGGTGAGGACATATTTTCATTCTTATTCTCTTGGCTTCACAGCTCTCCTCCACAACTTATGCTGAGCAAAGTTTTTACAGCTCGAACAGGAAGCAGTATTTATGGAAGTTTAAACACGTGAGTACATTAGAAAGAACATGTGATCATTAGGAAGTGATAGAGACTGGTGTTTTTGGTTTCTTCCGGAGAATAGATTGTCTCTTTCTAGTTCCTTTTTTTCCTCTAAGGATTCCTCTTTCATTCTTAGAAGACATAAGGGTGCAGTGGGAAAAGGGGGAAAGGAAGGTAAGACACAGCTGATAACCAAAGGCAAACATCACAGCACAAGATTGTTTTTTTTTCTTTCTTTCCTATAGGCTTCAAGACAGTCTTGAGTTTATTAATCAAGATAATAATACTTTGAAGCCAGATCATACCACAGTTATGAATGGACTGCTTATGAACATAGGTAATTTTCTTATTTGCAAGATAAGACCTTAATGATAACGATTGACACAGATTGATCTGACCCATACTAAAATATATTTTTAAAGAAATGCTATGGATTAGGGTCTAAGGCAGCCATTACTCTCAGTTAAAGCTCATGACACTTGAAAATGTTTACTGCGGTGTGACTATTTGGAAGAAGTTGATGATGTCAGTTGAAAGCTCTTTATGAGAATAACCATTAGTCTAATATAAATCACAAAGTGTTCCCCTTATTAAACTATATTCTAATTATATAAAACTACACTATTTAAAATTTAAACACGTGCATGTCACAAAATATTATATATTTATTATCACGTGAATATGTAAAGAATGTGATATGTGAGATATAGTTCATAGTTCCAGTTGGTTTGTTCAGTTGTTGTTTTTAGTTTATTTTAAATGCCTACATTCGCTTTCATTCTACATTTCAGGGCAATCACAACAATATAATATTATAATATAATATATAATAATATAATAACAAATAACATCTTTAAAATATTAAATCTGGTAATAAATAAAAATTCCTGGCAAGTGAGTTTTCACCTGACCCCAAAATATTGTAATACAGGCATCAGGCTTGTGTCTTTAGAACCACTCCATTGATCAGTAATAGCCAACCTTTTTGGCACTGAGTGCCGAAAAGGGAGCAAGTGCATGCTCGTCGGAGCAGCAACCTGGAAGAGGAACTGCCCAGGTGGCATGTGCATGCCAGAAAATGAACTACCGGTTTTTGGTGCGTGCATGCGCATCAGCCAGCCAGTCTTCTGGTTACTGGTGCGCATGCACATATGCCGATCAGCTGACTAGCATGCATGTTCACGGCGGAAAACGGAAGAATAGCTCTTCCAGTTTCCAGCAACGGCCAGATGATTGTTGTGTGCACATGCATGTCCGAAACCCGAAAGAGGAATGGGCAACACCGTGTGTGCCAGGCAACATGGCTCCACATGCCACTTTAGGGACGCATGCCATAGGTTCACGATCAAGGTCATAGATGGTGAAAGGAGAATCATATAGCCCCCAATAAAGAAAAACACTTCAGAAAAAGATGCTAAAAGCTGACATGGGACAGTTCCCTCCAAAGTTTGCATAATAAGCAGCAGCTAGGAATGAAAATTGTGACAGTTGTATTTTTTATCAGTTGAATCTCTGGCAAGGCTATGTAGCTGCTTTGCAGGAACCTCAACAAGTGAATGTAGGGCATGGAACACAACTATCAGTCTCCTGAAAGGATTGCAGTGATAACTCAGCTGCCACTAATAAAAATTATCCTTGCTGACCTTGGTTGTCATCACAGCCTGCAGAGACAATGATGGATCTATTGATCCATGAATATGTTTCATATGCCATATACATGACATAACTCACTTCAACTGCTTTGGACGCATGACAGCAGTAGGAGGAAAATTTAACAGGAGCACACTTGTTTTCAAACAAGAAGACTGGCTTGTTCTTCCCAAAGTTTTTAAGTTGACTTGGGAGACAGTCAAGTCGAACTCAGAGGTCCCCACTTCATACCATGCTGCAGCCTCCTCCTGTGCCCCAAAAACTCTGCTCTTCAGATTTCAGGGAGCCTTTGTAATGTTGCATAATTGTTCAGAGAAGCTGGAGAAATTCTAATGGGTGCCTTGCATTCCCCCTCTTGGTTTAGCTACTCTTTATTTTTTAAGCATTTAAGCCACATGGTGACTTTGAGCCAGTCACTCTCCTTTAGCCCTTCAAAGAAAGAAAGAAAGGCATGTCCAAAATATTTGCCAAGACAATTGCAGACAGAATTTCTTGATTTCTTGCCCAGACAGAAATCAAGACTGACTCAAACACACACACACACACACACACACAATGGAAAAGAGAAGAATAAGTTTTATTAACCATGATTATGTTTACTGGAGGTTTTGGCTGCTGTTTGCTGCCCTTACTCATATAGCTGTTCCTCAGCAGCCTAATTAATCTTCAATAATAGCACTCTGCCAAGAATATGATGATCCAGACAAAATCCATTGCTTTTCCTATAAGGCCTATCATTTATATGTGTTACCTAAGGCACCATCTGTTTGAACACAATGATTTCAGACTAAGCACCCACACAGTTTATGTAGTTAGCTGCTTAGTGTTTAAAATGAATTATTTGGCTTTCTAGTGCCAAAACCCATAGGTCGGCTGAAAGATCAATGCATACTGAACTTATATATTGGGATTGCTTCATCCTTGGATGAATGATTCGCTCAATACCCTTTTTATCCATTTATTTAATCAATATCACTCACCTTTTAGAAACCAACTTGGTTTTAATAGAAAGCAAAAGTTCAGGAACATAAAACAAAATTTGTTTTTACTTATGGAACCCTGTTGCTTTCATGCACATCTTAAAATAATTGAAATATAGTTTTCTGATCCCTGCAAACTACAACATAACATATTCATTTTAACTGTTGCTGTCCTTCCTCTCTATCCTTTACTAAATTTAAACTTCCCCAGCAGAGAACGGCAGATCACTACAATGGACAAGAGTTGCAATTCTGATTCAAAGTGTAACTGCAAGCCAGTTTTATGTTCAAATGGGTTGGTACTGTGGGCAGTGGCATGGAAAGGAAGTTTTGTGTGCACTAGGCACCGTATAATGAAATAATGTCAGTTTGGTAGGATCTATAAATATAACCTAGGTTTATAAAACGAGTGTTAATCTATAATTACGTAATGTAAAAGTAGCATAAATGAAGCTGCTCGGTATTGCATTCCTTAATGCTGCTTACTTATCTATGCCCAGTTTAAGAGTCGTTGACTTAACAGATATGTAAGTTTGTAATATCAAAAGGAAATGGAAAATGAATGGCTAGTGCAAATAGCTAAATGAATAGGTGACTTACGACTACATTTGGGACCAAAATCTTGGGTGTTGAACAAAACAGTCATTAAGTGAAACATACAAGACTGTTTCTCTCAACAACTGTGATTTGGGCGCTTCTGGTTGTGGTCTTTAAGCCATCTCATGAGTTAATTGGATGAAGTTCTAGGGAAGGTATCATGGGGTGCCTTTGGGGGGCGGGAGAAGACCCTGGAGGTTCCACTCAGGAGCTGAAAACCCTCCCTACCAAAATTCAAGCAGCATTTTCAGCACCTGAGTAAAGAGACACTTGTGCATGGCTTAGGGTCTCCCAGGGCCTGCCCCACCCACCTGAGGCATTTCACAATGAGGCTCCCTCTCCACCTTCTGCTTGGGTTTTGGCTCCCTCTTGTCTTTGGGGTGGGGGAGGTTGCCTAAAAGAGCTGCCTGCTAAAGGATTTCAGGTTCCCTTTATGGACATAAGGGAACTCCTTTGCTGGGGTGCAGGAGTGGAGCTAAAATCTTTAGAATTTCAACACTGTTTTTGCACCCTGCTGAAGAAATTCAGCTCTTTCACTGCACGGAAGAGAATTCGTTTGATAGGGTGCAAAAACGGAGCTGAAATTCTGAAGAATCTTGAGGATTTTAGCTCCATTTTTGCACCCCATCAAATGAGTTCCGTTCCTCTCTGCAGGCAGCTCTTTCAGCCCACCTTTAGAGATGAAAGGAAGCTATCTTTGTAGGGGGACAGCAGCTTTCACTCTTTCCTGCCAGCTTCCCCATTGATTTTCTGCGGAAGCCACCAGAGAAGATAGCAAATGATGATCACATGATCGTGGGGTGTTTGGCAACCAGTCATAGTAAATGCAAATAGGTTGCCAAGCACCTAGATTGTAATCTTGGGACCATGGGTGTGTGCGCAACATTTTGCAACAGGCAGAAATTCTTTATGGGCCATAAATCACCCTTTTTGAGACCACTGTAATTCTGGACCTACATTAACCAATAGTAGCATGTCTAAGATTATATATACACACTGGAATAATTACAGTCTCCTGAATAAAGGAAATAGCTTTTTACTAACCATTGATCTTAATAACAGCCCATTTGTACGTATTTTTTAAAACCTAAAGAGAAACCTAAACCTATTTTACTTTTATACGTCACTTGATGCAGTATATTAAGAAATATAATTATTTTTCTGTCGTTTTGAATATTAAAAACCATACAAACCTAGATTA